TTTATACTCGTACGTTTGCTGGAGTATACACAGTTTAAGCTCTTAAGGTATTGGAGCATCGCAGTCCCGAATGTTGGGGTTGCAGGACCAACTGTTAAAGTTGATTCATCTGCATGTGTGGATTTTATCCTGAATTTGTTGGGTGCTCGAGTCACGAGACCAACTAGGGGAGTTGATGCGTCAATGACTCGCAGTTATAGAATTTTTGGCAAATCCTCAGCCATCAACGGATTTGATGAGCCTTTACCGACTACCGTTTGAGCCGGGCTAGCATGCGGATTGTTTAAGTCCGTTCCGCATGTGACGTCGTGCTAAGAGAGTTAACGCTCTTAGTGCTACGATATTGAATACGTAGACTTCGTCTTTCTCACGGGAATAGACTACCCGGCGACGCGTGTTAGGCGTTGACTTTAGGATTTTTGGCTAATCCCCAGCCTTCAACGGATTTGATTAGCCTTTACCGACTACCGTTTGAGTCGGGCTAGCATGCGGATTGTTTAAGTCCGCTCCTATGTGACGTTTAAGCTAAAAGAGTTAACCCTTTTAGTGCTACGATATTGAATACGTAGACTTCGTCTTTCTCACGGGAATAGACTACCCGGCAACGCGTGTTAGGCGTTGACTTTAGGATTTTTGGCTAATCCCCAGCCTTCAACGGATTTGATTAGCCTTTACCGACTACCGTTTGAGTCGGGCTAGCATGCGGATTGTTTAAGTCCGCTCCTATGTGACGTTTAAGCTAAAAGAGTTAACCCTTTTAGTGCTACGATATTGAAGTTTTCAAATGCGCGCGCCTCATTGCGCCTCATGCGCCTTACGATGCGGGGCGGTGGTGAAGCGCCCCACTTCTGATGTAACAGTGCCTTTTGTGCCTCGCGTACATCCTTAGTTTGTGCAGGGTGCATGTAATACATATCCTCATATAGTTTTGTTTGTTAACATTTCAATCGAGTATTTATACTTGATATTTCATATCCCAAAAAGCAAAATAAATCCATTAGTCCTTTTTAGTAGCCTTCAATTAAGGATCATTACTAATTTGTTGCTTGGATATTAGTCTTGATTTAACATTTAATTTAAAAATTTATAAATTTTGCTACTATGTTGGGTGTTAGCATTAGAAATTAAGGCATTATATTGTGATTTTGTAGTAAGATATTATTTATCATGATATTTTTCATGTGAATTCTAAAAACATGTTCTTTCATGCTTGATTATATATTTTAAAAAATTATGTGGGCGGTGTGCGCCTCGCATCACGTTGCGCCTTACGCATGTGCGCGTAAAGATGCTCTGCGCCCCGTATTGCGCCTCGCGCATTAATAACACTGTCGACAGCAGTGTTCTAGTACACGGTGGTTCGTAGAAACAGTCGGAAACGATCTAGAGGGTGCCAGATTAAAGTGGGAGCGATGGCTGCAGATGAAGGAAATGTGAAAATTAAGAAGTTTGATGGTGCGGACTTCGGCTTTTGGAAGATGCAGATCGAAGATTATTTGTACCAGAAGAAGCTATATCAACCTCTCTCAGGAAGTAAGCCAGATGACATGAAGGATGAACATCTTTTGTTGATAAAGAGAGAATGTTTTGTTGGCAAAGAGAGAAAAGAAAGGTGTATGAAGGTGATGTTTTTTCTATATAAAGCATCCGAGAGAGTGTGTTCGGCACAAAATTGTCTACGTCCACGAGCTACTGCAGATCTTTCACTAAGGGGAGAAAATTTTACAAGTGTTTACAAGAAATCTCACAACCCAAAATCACTCTGAAAATTGCTCTCAATTTTCTCTCACCAAGGCCTTTCTCTGAGCCTTTCTTTTCACTCACGCTTCACATTTCCTCTCTGATTTTTCTCTCACTTAGATTGATGCCCAGCACTCTCTCGGATGCTTTATATAGAAAAAACATCACCTTCATACACCTTTCTTTTCTCTCTTTGTCAACAAAGCATTCTCTTTGTCAACAAAAGATGCTCATCCTTCATGTCATCTGACTTACTTCCTGAGAGAGATTGATACAACTTCTTTTGGTACAGATAATTTTCGATCTGCATCTTCCAAAAGCCAAAGTCCGTACCATCGAACTTCTCAATTTTCACATTTCCTTCGTCTGCAGCCATTGCTCTTACTCGAATCTGGCACCCTCTGGATCGTTTCTGACTGTTTCTACGAACCATCGTGTATTAGAACACTGCTGTCGACGAACCAGTATCGCTGACAAAATTTCACTATTCACAAAATTCACTATTCACGTAAATAGTAATCTCGCAGAAAATTGATAGACGTCACAAGCAGAGCTCTGATACCAGTTGTTGGGTTTGACAAGCTTTTTCAACAAAACTTTCCTTCTTTTCAACAAAGCTTTTCTTCTTTTTGTCATTCATTGCACCGAAAGCATTCGGTGATAAGAAAGTTAGACTTTTCATTGCACCGAATGCTTTTGGTGCGTGAAAGTTGAGCCCTCCCTTTTTGACTAACAGTGTGGCTGAAGTTAGGTAAGGAGCGGCTATAGGGAGAAGGAAAGAAGTTAAAACATATACGATATGGTCCATTTCGGATTCTCGATCAGATCGGTGACAACGCCTTCAAGCTGGATTTGACACGTTATTTAGGCATGTATTCGGTGATCAATGTCAAGTATTTGAAGTTGTTCGAGCCTTCATTGTTGGATGATGAGGATGATACAGAGTGATCTTGCCGCATGTTGAAGACTTGTGGTTTGATAGAGAAGAGCCGCTGAAAGATGATTGTATTTTGGAGCGGAATGTGACCACGATTAGACGGGGGACGAATGAGTCGTTTTTGGTTGGACGTCAAGGTCAGGTTCCTAGCAAAACCAAGTGGTTCAACAAAGAAGGGGAGCTCGAGAGTTTTCTCAGCTGAAGTTCTAACTTGAATGAGACTTCAAGTTCCTAAAGGGGGGAGCCATGATACGGATGTATCTTCTCTGCTTCGGGAACTTAGCGATCCTCATGAGAGCTAGAGGATAGATATTCTCATGGTAGCTTGAGAATAGAAGCGTGGGCGGAGCCGCGGCTGACGGCAGAAACGGTCAAAATCAGAAAAACGGTGAAAATCAGGAAACTGGCGAAAGGGCTCTGGTCGGTCGACCGAACGACCAGCACCGGTTCACCGAACGACCAGCACCGGTCAACTAGATTCGTACACACTACAGGGTCGAGAAACATGTTCTCTGGTCGGTCGACCGACGCACTCTTTTTGGTCGACCGATAGGGGGTGACCGGTCGACCGATAGTGACACATCGGTCAATCAGATCGGGTTTCCTGGGCCGATCTGGATTTTGTTTTGACGCGACTCCTGGTTGGGTTTATATTGGTTATTTACCACTTTGTCACCCACGATGTTTGACATATAAATAGGGATTGTTTATGGTTTCTAAACATCAGATTAGAGTTTACAGAGGATAGAGAAGTTGTTCTTTATTCTAGAGACATTGTGAGAGAGAGATTTTGTAATCTTTTATTCTTCATAATCTAGAGAATGTATTTTCCTTCGCAAATTGAATTGTTTTTGTGTGTTTTACTGTTTTCTTCTCAAAACCCACCTTTGATAATTTCGCGATCAAAGGTGCTCGCTCAGCGACTCGTATCAGGGGACTTCAGAATTTCGTTTGGTCCAAAATTGTGATTGCTGTTCTCAATTCAGTGGTTCATACTTTTCAAGTGAACCTGCTGATTGTTGTTCAATTTGTCATTTTTGGGTGTTTTTCTTTATCAGAGGATCTTTATGCAAAATCACTAAGATTAATCAGTAAAATAGTCATAGTTTTATGCTTGAGGTTTAGGATATTCAGGATAGATGGGATAAGCGAGAGCTTTAAAGTTCATTTAGGGATTTGAGACGGACAAAAGGTTCACCAAGTAAATGTTAGCATTATTATCCCACATCAATATCACTCTTCCACTATCCCAACAAAAAGAATAGAAAACGCTTGGTCGCATGCTGCTGGGAACATTTATGCCTCACTAAATTACTAACTTATGTAGACCCTCCAACTATGTTACCATGTACTTCAAATATAGAGCCGTTACCCGAGACATGTCGTACCCGACACTTCTTGGACACTCCTTAAATATATGCATATACTTGTTCAGGCATGTACTCAATTATATAATGCATGTTTAATTTAAAACACTCGTGATACACTTCTTGTACATATATCCTACACTTCACATCCATTTTGTAACTCGTTCGATAAGGGCCAAGTTCGTTTCAATCTTAAAAGCTCTGATTTAAAACGATCGTTTACATGTAGAGCTCAAAAGTATGATTATATCTCATGAGTTTCAACTGTGTCTCTATACCCTACCTTTCACAAATTTTTTGTCTCCCATAACCGTACCCGCACCCATACTCATACTTGTACCTGTGCAACTTAGCCCTCCAATCAGGGGTTTAGAGTTTAGATTCACCGAGTAAATGTTAGCAATCTTATCCCACATCAGTCATCACACTTCCACCATCCTAACAAAAAGAATAGGAAATGCATCATCGCATACTGCTGGAAACATTTATGCCTCGCTAAGTTACTAACTTATGTAGACCCACCAGTTAGGGGTTTAGAGTTTAGACCACTTTATTTGTGCCTGTAAGATTGATGAGATTAGTAGTTGGCACAAGTCATAGCAGATGAATTTTCTTGGAAAAATATATTTCTAAGGCTGAAAAAACTAGCAACAAGGAAATATTAGAGCATCAAAGGTTCTCTAGAGAAAGTAAACATGAATTGGGTTTACAAGAAGGATTTATGGAAATGTGCCTCTTCCTTAAAAGTGGGGTTTAAGGATTGGTCCTGTGCAAAATTTATTCAGTATTGCAAATAGCCAGTAAAGCACATGCATATATGAAATACATCAAGGCGTATTTGTAGTTGTGAAATAAAGGGAAGTCCCAGTTTCAAGGTCAAGTGATTTTGAAGTTTTGAACGTAATACCATACGCAAGCAATATATGGAGAAAATACTAGATGATTATGAATTTTACCATGAAGGCTGTTTGGTGGTTTGTTGATGGGCAAAGAGTATTCCACTCCATCGAGAGTAAACTTCCCATCTTTGATTCTGTTTGCCACTCGACCGACAATGCATCCAAAGTATGGTGCAGCACCTTGCTGAAAAACATGCATGACTGTAAAATACAAAATTATATATAGTTCTTTAAACCACTATGTACACAGACCTATTGAAGCAAGAGCATCATGCCTCACAAGAGAGTAAACTTTCCAATACCTTATTATATCAACTATACGAAAAAGTTTTATTCACATAAGCAATTAGAATGTCGCTATAAGAAGCAATGAAGCACTCAGGCAGTGAAACCTCAAAATAATTGAATGATGACATAAAGAAACAGTTATAAGAAGCAGTTTAAATTAATGGGAAGAATCTTTGAAGAGAGTAAACATAGCAAATCTAAGGGACAAAAAATTCTTTCCTCCTTATATTACATTACACCAACTACAACTTATTATGTGTAAATTGAAGAAAAATTAAGATGTCTCAAATGGGTATTTTTAATCTTGAGAAGAATGAATAGTCTTTCACTGACCTGCTACATGCTTAAAAACATAAAGTGAAAAGATGCAACACAAGGTATAAAAATAATACAAAAATGGCCACTTGCTCCCATGTTTGAATTACAGTTTGTAACATAACTAAGGAGGAAACAGGAACTTCCTTATGAATTCGTCAGTTGCAATAAAGAAGGCCAACAAAGGGGACATATGAAAATTAAAGAAAAAATAATTGGATTTTCATCTACAAGTTTTATATTCGAAAGACAAGACAACAGTAACATCTAATTCTTTTCCCGCCTCTCCAAATAAAAGCCATAGCCCAGGTATTGATTATGGAATCTGGGGCCAGGACCTCCCATAACTAACCTCTCAACAATCCCCAAACCAGGCCTCACGTAGCTACCCAATTCTATGATACACAAGAATAGTTAAGAATAGAAGCATATTCTTGGTTCAAGAAGAGAGGCATCTCGTTAAATTCTCGTATCTATGTCAAGGTTTAAACATCAGCAAATTGCTGAAATCTATTTGAGGGTTGAAATTTAGTGACATGGCAATGCCATGGACAGGGTTAGCAGTAGCTTTTATACTTCCCAAAAAAGGGGAAAAACACACACGCACAAAATTAGATGATCCCGGTTCAAATTTCTCTTAAATGTTAATTACAGGGATTCAATAACCAGTATAAATGTTAAGGTACATTATTTAACTTGATTAATACTTTAAATAACTAAAATGAAAAACTTACCCCCAGAAAAAAGCTAAAAGTATCTCAAAGTGAGTAGTTAGTATAAGTAATTTCAAAGCAATAGCTGAAAGCAACGCTAAAAGAGAAAGGAGACCCTATTCATATCTGGGCATTTCAGTTTTATCGAATGAATATGTCAAGAAATTAAAAAAAATCTTTCATAAAGAAACAACACAACCCAAAGATTCAAACGTGTACGCAAAATTCTATCTAGAACAGGGGGAGGGGGGTTCTTTAAAGCATGAGTTAAGTTTAAGGGGCTACTCACGATGTAGGGTTCGATTGAATCAAACCCTAGAACCACATCAGCAAGATTTCCTGAAAACAAAGATAAGGGATTAGAACTGATGAGAGAGAAGAGGAGGGGAGAGAGAGAAATTGACCTTTGGAATCAGGAACAAGAAGAGAGAGGATTGTGGCTCCCCAGTTGCTAATCTTCGCTGTGATCTTGCCATTGGTGAGCTCAAAGATCTCTGCTTTCTTCTCTTCAGCCATCGCCCCCTCTCTCCAGAAACAGGAGAACGCACCAAGGGGGGCCTAATGCAAAATGGAGAGAAAAAAGAAAGGGGTTAATTTAGGAAACCGCCTCTATAATGAAAGTGCCAGCTGGAGAGAATATTAGATTTATTATCTCTTGATAATCTTCTCAAATCTTTTTGTTTTATAATCTGGCTTATTTAATTTAAAACTAGATTTTATGCACGTGCAATGCACGTGATTAGATACTGTTATTAGGCATTTTTGGTTTATTTTTTTAATAAAATTTATTCCTCGGTTACACTTTGATAATTTTTGCTCACTTTAATTTAAGTATTTTTTGTTTATTTTCTTACTAAAACTTATTCCTCGATTACACTTTAATTATTTATTTATTTGATGCTTGTTTCAATAGGCTACACCCAGTTTAAATTTTTATGTTGATAGTTGAATTGTCAGAAGATAAATATAAGCTAAATCCAATTTTTATTTTTATTTTATTTGGATCGGTACGAAACGGAGCTTGGCCTGAGAAAGTATAGTGTTATGAAAGTGAAAACACTTGAAAAAATAACATTATAAAAGGAAGATGAATAATAAAGTCAACGAGCCAAGATGATTGATTTAAAGTGGGCTAAAATAACAAAAAATGGTTAATAAAAAATCTTAAACTAAAGATTAATGCTAACTCTAGTACACTTTTATATGATAAAAGCATCAACATATGCATATGAAAGCACTAAAAATAGTTTATGAAAATCTCTTCTAAAGATTCCTAATTTTACTAAAAAATTAAACTATTCTATAACAATTCACAAACCATTATCTTCTGTTGCTTCTATTTTATTTTTTATTGAGTCGAGATCAATCCTTCTTCATCTTTATCTTTTTCATGGGCAATTCTAGAGTAGTGTCTTCGTCGTTTACATCGATTGTGATATGAGGCTGGAGCATGTTATCTTTCCTTGGGCTCATTCATCTTTTGTCTTCTCGTTTAAATTCACAAAGAAGTTGAATATATTTCTTATGTTCAACACAAAATTCTAACAATACGGACTTTGATTTTTTTCCCTATTTTAATAAGAATAAATGTTAATTTCATATATATGAAATTTTTTACATTTTTAATTTATTACTTAAATAAGGTTAGGAGCTACCTCTTTTTTCTCTGCAATGAATTCTTCTGTTGTGCATCCAATAAGAATTTTTGTTGTGTCATAATATTACCTTTGCTTTCTCAGTGTCATTTTCTATGAGGATCTGAACTAAATACATTACATTTTTCATTGTCAATTTACTTTAGATTATAATATTAATATTCAATTTTGATATATTTATTTCATGAAGAAGGAATATTACTTAACATTAGTACTACATCATCGACGACTCTACAACATTTATCATTTGGACACTTATTATTAACATCCCTATCCATTTGCTTGTTACAACCTTCGTAAACATAGAACCACTGCTAAACTCTATTATAAATGGTAGTTATCATTGTCTTAAATGTGTGCTACTGTGTCTGTATATTGGTAAATTATTCTTAGGTTTAATTGATTGAATTTTAGAGTAGGTTTTGTAAGATCATACATCTTTCGAATGTTATAATGGTTGTATATATTAGTGTTCGCGGGAAAATTCGTTGCTTTCTTCATTAATGATTCCATTGTACACTCTTGTAACAGTTTATCGATTACAAAGATCCGGTCTTTTTATAAGATCCGGTTACAACGAAAATCAAATAAAAAGAAATGAAAAATTACAACTTTGTTTCCTTGTTTGTCGAACGAATCACGAGCTCCTGTTTTGCGGTCGCTCGCTTTGTGGGTTCTTTGCCTGCGCCGGGGTTGTTTGTCGTGGACCACCGCGCGATCTAGATCCGGTCGGATCTACGCAGTACGACGGGTATTATTCCACGAAGGAAATAATAGCCGGGAGGGATTGATTCACCAAGGAAACAATCGCTCAAGTCTCGGGATCTAAGACCAAGCTTAGATCCGGAGTTCGTACGCGTAGATCTGAGATCTGGTCCTCTCGAATACCTGCCTTATTTGGCGTTGACGGTCGCCGAGCACCAGATCTGGATGAGCAAGTCCTTGAAGTCCTAAAGCTTGAATCTTGTTTGGATCTGAGTCTCCAATCCAGCAGGGCTTCGCCTCTCCAAAATTTCCAACCCCCAAAAATGAACCAAGGCCTAGCCTATTTATAGGCACTCAGATCTGTGCCTAGGCACAGATCTGGGCCGGCCACCTCAGGGTGGCTCGGCTCTGGGCCGAGCCACCTTGAGGTGGCTCGGCCACCGAGCCACCCTGCGTTGACCGGCGTTAACCCTAGGGTTTCGAACGTCGTACGTTGAATTTTTGCTCGCAACGCGTTGACTGGCGTTGACCTAAGGTTACGCGTTGTCCGGCGTTGACCCTGGGGTTTTGACCGTCGTACGTTGACCTTTTGATCGCAACGCGTTGACTGGCGTTGACCTAAGGTTACGCGTTGTCTGGCGTAGACCTTAGGGTTTTGAACGTCGTATGTTGCTCAGGTCACGAGACCAACTAAAGAAGCTGATGCGTCAGTGACTTTCGTATTTATAGGATTTTTGGCAAATCCTCAGCCATCAACGGGTTTGATGCGCCTTTACCGACTACCGTTTGAGTCGGGCTAGCATGCGGATTGTTTTAAGTCCGTTCCGCATGTGACGTTATGCTAAAAGAGTTAACTCTTTTAGTGCTACGATATTGAATACGTAGACTTCGTCTTTCTCCTGTGAAAAGACTAAACAGCAACGTGTATCAGACGTTGACTTAGGATTTTTGGCAAATCCTCAGCCCTCAACGGATTTGTCATGCTTTTACCGATTACCGTTTGAATCGGGCTTACATGCGGATTGTCTTAAGTCCGTTCCGCATGTGACGTTGTGCTAAAGGAATGAACTCCCTTAGACTTGATGCTACGACTTCGAATACGTAGACTTCGTCTTTCTCACGGGAATAGACTACCCGGCGACGCGTGTTAGGCGTTGACTTTAGGATTTTTGGCTAACCCCAAGCCTTTAACGGATTTGATTAGCCTTTACCGACTACCGTTTGAGTCGGGCTAGCATGCGGATTGTCTAAATCCGTTCCGCATGTAACGTTGTGCTAAGAGAGTGAATTCTCTTAGACTTTGTGCTATGATGTTGAATACATAGGCTTTACCATTGTTATGGGAATAGGCTACCCAGCAACGTGTATTAGACGTTGACTTATCCCTACTTAGGCTTCGGGATAAAAATACCCCAGACTGGTATTCTGGTGTCTTTTTCAATCGGTAAAAGACTAAACCGGCGACGCGTGTTAGGCGTCGGCATATCCTTTCTTAGGATTCAGGATGAAATTCCCCATGCGTGTAAGGCATGGATTTTGGTGTTATTAATAACAACCTGCCACAATGTTGAATATGTGGACGGATATTCTTTTCAACGGTTAAGAACTAACCGGCAGCGCGGGTTAGGCACAGACTTATCCTTGCTTAGGTTTCAGGATAGAATACCCCAGAATCGAGCTCTGGTGTCTTTTTTCTACGGAACAAGACTAAACCGGCAACGCGTGTTAGGCGTTTGACTTATCCCTACTTAGGATTCGGGATAAAATTCCCTGTACCTGTGAGGCACAGATTTTGGGATTTGAAAAAGGTGGTGTCTTCTCTTGGGGCAAAGACGAACCCGAAATGGGGGAAGAATTTTTATATTCTATCTCCCGACAATGAAGAAGAAGAATTTTATATTCTATCTTCAACTGGAAAGGAGACTCGAGGTGGGATCTCCACCTCCAGAATCCGGAAGGGTGAAACTAGGAGTGGGATCTCCACTCCGAGAATCGAAAAGATTCGGATAACCCTAACTGTCGGAAGGTTTGATTATCGAACTAAAGATGAATTTCCCGTTTATCGAGAGTGAATTGCGGTTTTGGTCCTAACTGTAGGAAGGTTTGACTAATCAGGAGTTTGAGATGACCCTAACTGTAGGAAGGTTTGATCACTCGATTTGAAAGTGGACCTCTCGTTCATTGGAGGAATCGAGAGGGGATTTTGACTGTGGTCCTAACTGTAAGAAGGTTTGACCAAGTGGGTGTTTTGAGACAATCCTAACTGTAGGAAGGTTTGATCGCTCAATTTGTGGACCTCTCGTTCATTGGGGGAATCGAGAGGGGATTTTGACTGTGGTCCTAACTGTAAGAAGGTTTGACCAAGTGGGTGTTTTGAGACAATCCTAACTGTAGGAAGGTTTGATCGCTCAATTTGTGGACCTCTCGTTCATTGGGGGAATCGAGAGGGGATTTTGACTGTGGTCCTAACTGTAAGAAGGTTTGACCAAGTGGGTGTTTTGAGACAATCCTAACTGTAGGAAGGTTTGATCGCTCAATTTGTGGACCTCTCGTTCATTGGGGGAATCGAGAGGGGATTTTGACTGTGGTCCTAACTGTAAGAAGGTTTGACCAAGTGGGTACTTTACGTCCAGACTCTAACAGAGAGAGTGTTGAGTGCATAGACATGGTGAGAATGGGAGTTCTTATTCATTACATTGCTGTGGTTTTGGGAACTTCCCATTACATAAATCGTCCACCCCCAGTTTCCTCTGCGGAACTGGTTCGGACATTATTATCAGTTAACTAACCGGGTTATCCTTAAGAATATTAGCTTAATATTCTCCAGGAACTTCCCGTCAAAAGTGGGGAAACAGTTTAGACTCATATACCTATTGGAGTATCAGGGAGTAGTTTAACCTCTTATACCGGTCGGAGGATTGAGAAACAGTTTATACTCGTATACTCTTTGGAGTTTTGAGAAGCAGTTTATACTCTTATACTTATCGGAGTCTGCCATTCTCAATTGGCTTACCTCAGCGTTATGACGCCAGCTTCAACCAAGGTCTGAATGCTATTCTTGAGAATTGCGCCATGATGTCGAAATGAGGTGGAGAGCTCGCATTCCCCGGTTTGTCTCTTCCAATCGGATGATTGAATCGAGACTGCCTCGGGTTTTGGGCTTCTTGGCGTAGAGGCTCCTTTCCCTTCTCCTTCTGCTAGATTTTCTCCGTCGCTA